AAATAATCCGTAAGAAAGTGTGTGAATAAAATAACTGATTTTTTAGGCGAGGTAGTGCGATCTAGGAGCCGGTGCGATATCGGCAACCTTACCCTACATGTAGTTAATGCGCGCTTCTTAAAAATTTATACTACAAACAAAATTTATCATATTTATTTATCATTATTTTACGGTTGTACTTAAAGTTCGAACTTTTATTCAAATTAATTCCTCGAATAATGTCCTATTTTTTTAAACAATTTGAAAAATGGCCAAAAATGCGTTTTTTTAACTTTTCAACTCGCTTTTTAAAAAAAATCTGACATGCTTGATCATTTTAAATTGTGGATTCGTGAAAAACTTATCAGAATCATCTGTCACATGTTATAAAACCTAAAAAAGGTTTAAAAATGTTGCACAGTGTATTTTATTGTGCATATAACAAAATTGTATAAAATCTTATCATAGAATGTTTAATTTATTGATATCGTGAATTTATAAATAATATGTATCATTCTAGAAGTAATATGATAGTATATTTTTCTACATTATTATGGAGTTTTAATAATATTTTAAGAATCCTATTTTCAATCGAAGTTCATCTTAATGCTCAATAATATTTATATGTAAATTTATATAACTATATTTAGTAGTTCTATAAATTGCTTACTAATTCAGTTTGTCGGACTTGAGACGCAATTATAAACTGAAGTTGGAAATGACATCACAATCTATTTGTATTGATCGTTAATTTAATAATAATAAATAATAATGCTAATAAATATTTTAAAACACTGCAAAGAATTTATAAATTTACATATGAAAATTTTGTAAGCATCAAGATTTGTTTTAATCCAAAAATAGAATTCTTTCTTTAATTTATTAATAACTTAGATATAATTTTCACTTATTAATATTTTAACTCTGCTGGTCTGTTCACATAATTTACTATTATCATTAAAGTCAATATGATTAAAAAGTAAAAAATAAAAACTTTCACAGAAAGAGATCTTACATTAACAAACGGAATCATCAGATACCAGAGAAAAAACTTTCTAAATAAAATATTAGCAAGAAAATTAATGACATTTTGGGTCAAGCAGACTCGAACAAATCAGCAAAGTTAAGATCATTTTTTTCAATTTTATCTAAAATGAAAAGGATATTTATATATAGTATTTTCACGAGCCAGATGGGTATATCACCCTGACTGCGCGAGTGATGGCATACGGCGGGATTAATCCGTACTAATTTTCTCATTCCAGTCAGCCCTCAGCGACCGCAGATAGAGTACGCCGACCGTCTAATTCTCCCCGGCAGCAACGTGACAGCCCGAGCAGGTGAGATCGCTACGCTCACTTGCAGAGCGCGGTATGGGAATCCTTCGCCTCTAATTAAATGGTTCGTAATTGTTGCACGTAGATTCCGTACTACTTAACTTGCGCGCTACCGACCTCCTTGCTTGGCACGCGCGATCTCTCGCTTCGCGTGTCTCGCTCGCTCTTCGGCTCGCTCCTCGTCTTCGTCGCTGCATTTCCTTCCGCTCGTTTGCCCTCCCAGTTGCGAATGTAATTATTCGAGAATTTATGGAGCTTACAGATTAAATGGAATGTATCGGTAATAAGAAGAAGAAGATAAACACATGGTACAGGGTATTCGGCGGAATCGCACATTTGCATTTAATTTTTAAGCGAGGGCATTTGACGTAATACGAACGCGATGTAACATTTCAATTTTGCTGGAACTAATAATCACGTTGTAGCTCTAATTGAAACTGCGAAATGTAACATTATCCCTTAATACATATTGGTTATTAGTTATTGCGATTAATATTATCACATGCCTCATTAATCGAATGGGAAAAGGCACACTCTGGATAATCGGGAAATCTAAATTCGAACCCTGCTTGGGGTAACATTTTGAATTCTTTGTAATTTTAAACTGCTTATTATTCTTATTAATATCGTTATTAAATTGACGATTAATTTAATTTATGATATTATTTCAACTGAAGTTCATGATTGCGTTTTAAATTCGATAAATGGAACACAGTTCCATATAAATGTGAAAGATATATTTTTTATAATTTACATAGAAATATTGGATATTTATAATAGCCTCGACCGTATTTAACTTATTATTGAAATTGTAATTTTTCAAGTTATTTCGCTACTAAAACATTTATTTTATTGAATATTTCTTTTCTCTCTTCTAACAGTAAAAGTCTGCTCTTCGCCGTGATTTTTTTCCATTGGAGGCTTTTCGGGCTCCGTGATTGAACGGGTTGTCCTAGGTAATCAAAATATACGTTACTATCGATTCCGAGGCGTCTTCTGCCATCGGCGCGCCTCTTCTTTGGCCGTCGTCGGAGCGCTTGTTCCCGCTGCTCGAAGATTCCACGTAATGCATCGAGGACGCTGTCGATAGTAGAACACGCGCCCCATGAATAATCATGATCTATTCTGCATCGTGCCCGGGCGAAATTAAGGAGCTACACGATGCATTTCATGCGACAGGAAAACATTGAAAAGGGAGTCTCACGCAATGCATGAGCGAACGGTAAAATTCTTGGTCTGGTTTTTCTTGAATCCCGACATTGCGCGACGGTTGGGTCCCTCCGAGAGCGTGGAAAAAGCTCACGTGGAAGCGGGATTTAATAGTTTTAAGGCGGAACAAAAACAAGAACCATGGTGGAAGAGAGAGAGTGAGAGAGAGAGAAGCACACAATCTCTCTCGGCTTTAAACCTTGCAATTTTCGGTTAGCAGGACAGTGTCCGTAGAGCCTCGGGTCGCGTTTCAAATTGCAGACGAGGTCCCTTGACAAGGCAACCGTTCTCCTCTGCCAGCCCTCAGTTGCTCTCGCTTACCCACTTACTCACTGGGAATTATCTTAATTGACACACGCGACGCAGCGCAGAATATGTGTATGCATAAACGTTTTAATTATGGCTGAACTGAGAGACCAAGACAGAGACCGGTGTGCAATCGACGGCGAGTATTGAGTTTCTAATAAAAAGACAATTGTCGACAAACGAGATAGTTATCGTCGTAATTATTACATAAATTGCAGACAACATTCGAGGTGAATTTAATATACGACGTTGTGAATAGAATAATTTGCTGTTTTCTGTTTACAAAATACGAATTTATGTTTTCACGTTACACTTCCGTATTATCTTTCGTACTATAATAACTAAGTACCGAGAGGCTTAATTCATGAGAGTACCGCCGTTAGTTGAAGTCCGCGAAACTGCAAGACTCTCCCGAAGAGCAGAGTTCTGAATAATCCGTGACAATGAGCTTTGATGGGGAAGGTTGAGAAACAAGACAAGGAGAATGAGAGGGTCAGGTAGAGAACGGCAGCGAAACGGCGCGGGCGGGGAACGTGTGCGAGATAGAGCGAGCCCGAAGAGGAAGATGACGAGGAGAGGAGGGTGTTGAAGGGGAGCGAGTAAGAGTTGCTGCGGAACAGCCATTGGAAATGTAAATTTTCGGGGCGATATGCAGGTACGTGGGCGAGACTGAGATGAGGACGTTGCGGCCCCAGGTAAACTCAACCGAGATAGATAATCCGCGCACTTGGGCAACCTACAGTGTTTGCGAGATTCTGGCCGAGCGATCACGTTACGGGCAGCCGATCAGATGCGTCGCTATTCATCCGGCGTATGCCAATCCCACCATGTCGTCCAGCACCGAAGTGAGATTCGACGTGCGCTGTAAGTAGACGCGATTTTCTCATAAGATTGCGAAGAAGGAACTCATCAGACTCTTGGAGATATGCAAATGCATCGATTATTATAAGAGGGACAGTAAAATAAAAGTTAATGATAAGAAAAGGGAATAATAATGACGGTCTAGATTGATGCGAAAATATGACAGGAGATAAAAGTTTATATTTATAGAGGAAAGATCCCTATTATGATACAAGGTTCAGTTTGGGTAAATGCTGGAAATGTATGGGCAGAATTTTAAAAAATAATAAGTCATTTTAAATTTAATAAGTTTTAAGATATTGTTATGCAAAATTTAATTTAAATACTACTTTTTCTGAAAATTAAAGAAATGTAAAAAGTGAGCAAATCGCAAAGTCAAAAAATTGTGCTCATAATATGAGATACTCTGAAAAATCGATAATAAAGCGCAAAGTACATCAATATTGCAATCAAAAATTTTATTTAATGTTTCTAAAATACAAACAAATGTTCATTTCAGTTTTATCCTTTTTATTACTGTACAATACATTCATATTTCAGCAACGATTGTCATTCCGATATAGGAGTATACTTCGTATATTAGAAGTACCTTGAGTATCTCATTATTATGAGTTTCACGCTTTACGGTTTTATGATCATCAAATCTAACTTCTGTAATTAAGCAATTCAACATATCCCGTTACAAAAGTTAGATTTTATGATCATAACAGAAGAAGAATTTATTGACAAATATTCACTCATTAAATAATAAACAAGGTTTAAACTCATCTCAATAAAACTTGAAGACATCTAAATTCTGAAATCTTTTTTTCACAACGACACAGGCACGATCCAATAATGCATTTTCCACTAAATAGTTTTCAACTTAAGAGCAATAAATTCACGGTGGAATCAACAGATAGCATTTATTAGTTTAGCAGAAATGCCGTTATCTCATATTAAGCGCCATAATAGGGGGATTTCCTCTAATATTATGGAATTTCGAGTTTACATTTTTAGATCACCTTTAAGAAATGAGATTATATCGTCAATATAAAATGATTGTCAACTGTTTTTAGTAGGTAAATGGAAATTAATTGACTTCTTCTAAAATTTATAATTATCATTAAGATAAATATCTTGCTAATATAAATAAACGTCGTACGTCAAATTACGGCTTATACGCTTGTGTTGTAAATATCCAGTGACGTATGATATAATAAGTAAACTCTTTAATAAACTCGGTTCAATGAACTCGTCTTTCTCCCCGAGAAAATAGAACTCTGGTAGGATAGTTTAATCCTTCGTCGTTCGCAAAGTTTGTGCCTGAATACAGACGAGTTTGTAATTGATTATGAACGATGACAAGAATCGTTGTCTCAGCGGATTATAACGGCTTATTAAGTCTTCTTAATGGGCATCACTAATCTGAAAATATACGTCTAGAAACGGGAGGAAATACGTATGGATAGAAAATTCTTATCTGTTATGAAACAATGCAGAATGAGAGAATAATAAAGTGCGCGTTATACATACTATAATTAGTAATTACTATGGTTTCGATATCTGACAATTTGAAGAGATAATAGTACAATAGTCGCGATGAATTCTATCGAATATTCGCTTGTATTAAACTTTACACAGTTTTGTGCTAAATATGACGTCAATGTTGAATCAACGGGCTTCATTCCTATTATTCCCCATTATTCTATTTAACATAAATATTGATTACGCGATGCGGTAAGCATTAAATTTTAAAAATACGTCATTATAATAAACACTTTTTTGATTTTTTAAAACAAAACATTGTATGATTATTCTTGTCTATATTCGCGAAAGAAGCTGCTTTCTTTGAAGAAGACCTCGAAGACCTAAAATGCGCAAAGAAAAACGAAGTGGTAGGCCGAGATTAAGGTTGCGCCTCCCTTCTTTTTTTTTTTTACATAGTCCTGCCGGTCATCAAGTATGTTGTATGCATAATGGAAACGGCGGAAGAAGGGAGAAAATATACGACCCTGGAACTTCCCTTCCTTCTCAGCCGCCACCTGCACGCGTAGAAATATATTTCTAGCCATAATGAAAAACTTTCAAACAAATCTCCAGCAGCGTTGCTTGCTGTTACATTTAACTTGCATAATTGATGTAATGCGTTTTTTCACTACATCGAGTTCTCATTTATAGAACTGTTTCATGGAAATAATTCGATATTTGATAATAATGCTGTATTATGAAGGGTGATCGATAGAAAATTGTTACGATTTTCTCATTTAATCCGACTTTTACACGAAGAAAATTTTATATTAAGTTTTAATACAATTTTAAATTACACTATGCTATGTCTTGTATTTTCGATGGACTCTCACAACATGACTTAACTTTTACTATGGTAATATTAATTTTTATCACATAAATAAAGTAATTATTTTGTTAAGCCATATTCTAACATGAAAACAATTAATTTTTACTATGGTACGCAAACAAAATTTGCTAGGTATATTTGATTTTGTAATAAAAAATTTTTACTATAAAAAAGTGTAAAAATTATGTTATATTATTGTTTTTAAAAAAATAACTATAGCATTTAAACTTATAATTTACATAAAGACCGCAGCTACTACTACATTACAGTAATTTTAAATATAAAATTTTCTCTGTGTAGAAATGATCAATATGGCACATACATGTATATACAACAAATATATATTCTTATATTTTGAATCAGCGCATTTGAATTAATCATATTATTCTTATTTTCGTGCTTTTCATCTAAATTTACAATTCGTTAATAATTAATCGTGATTATTTACTACATTTACAAATATTCTCGTTTTAAAGAGAAATAATCTAATTACTAATAGTAAACTAAGTTAAAAGAGATAAAACGCAATCTGAGTCAAAGATATTTAATTAGAGTTGTTACAATTATAAAATCATTAAAGTAATTTCTCTCAATCTGCTATTTTTGATATTCTATTCCTTATTTAAATACATTTCGTACTTGACTTTAATGTAATATCTAATAGTTGATATAATATATTTAATATAGTATAAATATACGGAATCAATATATTTCAAAACAAGAGAAATCCATTATGCTGTTAGAAATTAAAGAAAGACGCGCGCTCTCAGCCATAGCTTCAATACGATAAAGATCAGTTGAAAGAGTAGTTTTATCGTATTATCGGACAATAATATCGATGCAAAAATGCATTTAATAAAAAGATTAGGAAAGTACGAGCAATGTACGTTTCTCGCACAAATTGTAGGGAAACAGTCCGCCAGCAAAATGTTCGGTCATGAAAAACGGTTCAGCAAAAAAGTCACTGTACCGCAACATGTTCGTGTAACACAGTGACCTCAAACTGTTTCGCATCTCTGACCATCCCCAACAATACACTGATTTAACCGGCTGCACATTCTCACGCACACACGCAGATACACACGGCAGGAAAACCACATATTTCCTTCTCTCTCTCCCTCTTTCCTCCCTTTTTTCTCCCTCTTTCTCTCTCATCAATCTCCCTCAAATCAGTACGTCGTGATGTCATGCGTTTCAACCTTATCGACAATTCGATGCCTGGCTAAACATTCAGGCAGATTTTAACGCTTTTTGCGAAACTGCGCTGCGGCGGACAGCAGCCAAATGAGTATTGATTTTAACTTCGGCCAACACACTGTATGTATAGCTGCAATCAAATCACGGTTGATTTAAATAAGATTATTGCTAATAACGCAGCCTTTGAATCATCACGCCGATCTTGTGCATCAATATTGCAATAACTTTATGAGGTAATTATCGCTCGCATGCGATCCGTTCGTTAGTCTGATGATACACATAATTAATTGAGAAACTACAAACCGTTAAAAGTCTTTTCGCTAATATTGTAATTATTATGTCATTTTTAATGCAGGTATAATAAGAAATATTCTAAATAGTAAATGTACTATAAAAATCTAACTGCGTATCAAAAATTTGCAATTCGTTGCAAATTTAATAACTTCGCGGTTTGCTAGTGAATCGCATATTCTATATGAATTTTGAAATCAAATCGGCTATTAAATCGAATGTTATGTAACATTAATTAGCAAACATTTTCGATAGGATCGTATCAGGTAATTAATACGTTGACCAGATTGCATTTGGTTCTCGTATCCGTTTCATCTTTCCCCACGAATTCATTCGGTGGTTGAAAAAGTATGGCGAACATGTATACTTTACCGCTATATACGGAGGTTAAAAGGTTCTCGCTCTTTTGCGTAAAGTTCCATTGTAAATAAATTATTGAAGCTGATAAATACGTGATACTCGTATCAACAAATATTTAGATTTACCGTTAATGCTGAAGCAAATAATACTGCTATTATGATAAAGAGAATCATTTAAATTAATATTATAGCAATTTATGTTAATTCTTGAGAAGCAATTTTATTTGTTTCTATAATAAATGATAAAAGCGCTGCACGTAAAATTACATAATATCACTGGAATTAAAATGATTTATAATGATTTATGAATGTCGACGCATCAAATATTATTACAGTTGTTGCGGTCTTAAATACATCGGTCGCTTGCGGCTGCTGAACGTATTCGACGAGCTTCATCGAGGTGTACAATTTCGATCATGCACGTGGCGTCAAAAATTGATTTGCCAGTTACCATTCCTAATATTACCTCCAAGAACATCATTTCCCCTTCTCCCGTTCACCTCGATCCAATTTCGAGCTCCACGGCCGTGTAATTTATAATTCCCACCGCAAATTCGATCTCGAGTCCCGTCGCGGCCCTCTTGGGGACATCTTGTGTATCTATCCGCTCATATATTTGCTTATCCGGGATACACGTGTTTGTGTGTACGTACGCACGCCAATTGTATTGATTACGTGCATTTAGATAGGCGGGACTTTTCAGTGCAAATTGAAAAGTTCGCTTCAGAGCACCGATTTATTCCGTGCCAATGTTACTTCGATCGCGAACTGAGGGATTTATCCTCGCTAACGAGAGAGGTGCATTTTGTCGGTGCAAT